TGCACGGTGGGCCCACCCCAGGTCTTGTCAGAGTCCACCGGAGGGTGCGCAGGGGGCGCATAAGTTGCACCGCCATACAAAAAAAGAAATCCTGACATATTCTTTTTTTTTTTAGGCAAGAGAATGATTGATCACCAAATTTCAATTGACGAAACCTGTCTGCAAACATCAATACCGTATCAGCCCCAGCCAGTGCCTGCCATACGGGTACGTTTGCAAAAGCAAAGAAAGAAAATGGGTAACCTACTGGGCAAAGAGAAACCTCTGAAGGAGGTCCTACGCGAAAACAAGCGTACAATAAATCGAGCAGTGCGAGAGTTGGACCGGGAAAAGACTGGGCTGGAAAGGGAAGAGAAAAGGTTAATATTGGAAATCAAACAAGCTGCGAAGCAACAGCAGATGGGGACTGTGAAGCTATTGGCCAAGGTATGGGGTATTTCAATTGAATTGCTCATTTTACTGATCTAATAATGTTACGTACTTAGGATTTGGTCCGTACAAGGCAGCATATCACAAAATTCATTGAAATGCGCAGCCATCTGCAAGGCTGTGGTCTGAAACTGCAAACGGTCAAGTCCCACCATGCCATGGCAGAAGCAATGAAGACAACCGCAAAGGCAATGTGAGTATCACAACTTTTTCCTTATCTTACTTCTTTGTTTGTTGTCTGACTAAATAAACGAATTTGCTACATATACTGCAGGTGCAAAATGAATAAAGCGATCGACATACCAGCCATAAACAAAATGATGGCTGAATTCGAGAAAGAGAATGCAAAGACGGAAATTATGCAAGAAATAATGGGAGATACACTTGATGATGCTCTTGCTGACGAAAGCACGGAAGAGGCTGAAGAGCAGGTAGTGAACCAAGTTCTTGACGAGATTGGTAAGCTCTTGTTTTTTATGTTGCGATTGACAACAATTGAAACTCTAACCCAATCGCTTCAAGGCATTTCGTTTGGAGAGGAACTGCCCGAAGCCCTTGTGGGAGCACCTACAGTGGAGGAGAAAACGGGACTTGTGAAGGTAGCAGTCGAGGCAGAGGTTGCAGACACTGCGTTGAGCGAATTGGAGGCGCGCCTCAACAATTTGAAACGATAAAGAACGACGGAGCCATAGGCGAGACTCAGATTAAATTTTTTCCCCGTCGGAGCAAAAGTTAGCTCATAGAGTCGGTTGGCATTTAGCATTTGCTATGTTCATCCACTACCCCTTTTATTCACCAGGTTGTATTTCTTTATACTCAGTTGGAATTATTCTTTTTTTGTAGCGGCTGCAACGATTGCTGACTTTCTACAAGGCCAAATTTTAATTGAAACAATGGATACTTGAATATTTTTTAAATACAGATACATTCCCTACAATAAAAGTACGCGATACTGGACATCCCCATGAATCCAGGCCTGCTACGGCGGTGCAGGTTTCTCTTCCTCGTTCTTGACCTCACCTGTGAAACGAATCCCATTTTCGGTGTCAATCAAGTTCAACAACATTGCGCTTTGGACCCAGTACGTTTGAGGAGACCCCACACCCCGCGGTCTTGTTGTTTTCAAAGACTTGTATATCTTCCTAGTATCGGGAGGGATTTCTCGGCATTGCTCAAAGTGGAAGCGTTGCATGTCTGCCACAGTTTGATAGATGCGACTGATTGATGAAGGGTAGCACACGGCTCGCTCTGCTCGGTCCCTTGGTCGAAGATGAGCACAGTGCACACAACGAATCCCTACTTGACCTGCAACCAACTTCTGAGCTCCTTTAGAGTGTCTCGCAGCTACGTCTTTGCCAGTGGCAGCAAAGATCTCCACCATTTCAGAACGGACGTAACACTGACGATCAGAAAGACTATCACTGTCTGTTGGCATGGCCAGAAGCAATCTTGCCTTCTGCGGCTTTTGGAAGTAGTCAAGACGACCTACGCCATTGCCGTCACGAGTATCGAAGCCACCGTAAGTTCCGTAGCCGTGGTATCTCGGTGAGATTTGATGGTAGTCATGCGGGGAATGCAAAGCTCGGTGATTCGAATGATGGGATGAGTGCAGACTTTGGTGGGGATGGTGATGCCCGTGATAGATAGGGTCGCGAAGTGGTGGAAGTGGAGGTCCTTGACTATTCCACATGTGTATTGGAGGCCCCGGGACTTCATGGGTCGCATGGTAGAGGGTGCCTACCCTTCCCTGTTGATGGCCAGCTGGAAGCGGCGTATCAAACCTTGGAATCGGTCCCCTGCTGATATGGGGTCTAGATCCATAACGTTCAGTGTACTGTCGAGCACACAGTTCTTCGTGAGCACAAGCCTCTTCGTAGCTCAAAAAGGTTGCAAATTGACAGTAATCACACGCCCATCGACGTGGTCGACCAATGGAATCCGTTTCAACCTGCAATCCATAGCTCTGGCTGTGATCATCGTGTAAAAAGTTTCTATGTTGAGGCGGTGTACTGTAGCTGCTGCATGCTTCATTGTAACTATAGTGATTGCTTGGGCGAAAAGTTGGACGTTCGAACTCCCCATGGGATCCATGTTCATTGCTCAAGATAGGAGTGGAAACGGTCTCCTTGAGAGCTAGATCGTATTGCTCACCTCTTATAAATCGATCACTAGAATCGGATGATGCCATGATATGCTTTGGATACGACGCAGGGGAATCAGTTTCCATCGAAGTAAATTCCTTGTTGCGACGCCAAGTGTTCGGTGCATGTTGACGCTCGATTTCTAGAGGCGACTCTGGTTGGCGGTCGCAGTCAGAGGACTTTCTTTTTCCTGGTGTTGCTGTTGGAGAGTCTAGATGAGAGTTATCCCTCGTATCCCATGCCATATCACCCCGATCTTGTTCAAAAGTCTTGGTGGCTGGTAGAGCAGGAGAATTAGTCTACGTTTCTTTTGAAAGCACTCAGCAGAAAAACATACCTTCTACAGCACCCTTAACATAGATATCAAGTGTTTCCATCGTTAAATTCTTTTGAATTGCAAAGTAGTGCGATGAAACTTGTGCTTAATCTTTCAGATGTTGCAAAGGTGGTGATCAAAATTATGACAAAAATGTTGTGATGAAATGTGTGCACCTCCCGGCGTGCGTTTCAAAAAGTGCGTTTTTTTCAATTCAACGGTCGTGTGCAAAAGTAAAAAGAAACATACGGTTAAATGTGCGTTGGCAAACGATGTGTTTCCCGGGAGAGATAACGGTAGAAACGATCGTCAAGCCTTGCACCAAGGATGCTTGCACGAGACATTGAAAAGTTGTTTCTTGTTGCAAGACACGAAGTTCCGACTGAGATCAAACAGAGAATAGCTCTCCTTCTTCTTATTCTTGAGTAGAAATATCGTTTTGAAATTGAACTGACGATTTATCCCGTGATTGGCTCATCCATTCATTCACTTCCGAGCTATACCGAGAGGATTATTTTCTTACTGGTATATTGCTTAGAACTTTGAGAAAGACAGCATTTGGGTTGCGGGCAAATTGAATTGACGGATGTACCGACTCTCCATCCTATATCGCGTACAAGGACCTTTTGATGTGGCTAACATAGTGCAAGGGGAAAAAACAAAAAATAAAATAGTAAAACTCAGCAATCATAAGCTATTACTTTGTAGCATTCACTGACAAAACAATCTTCACGCATCGTGGATAAAAGCTGTTGTTCACGGCCGGCAACAGCTGAGGCCACTAGCCCTACCACAACCAAACCAGGAAGAATCGAGCGTTCCTCTATAGGGAGGTGTCCCCCTTCCAGAAATTGTAGCAATCGTAATACAAGGTTCACAATTAGATTGGCATCTTCCACAGTAATCTCTGTTCCACAATGGCCTGTTTCAGTGACAAGAAACTCTGTTAACCTATCCATCACATCACCTGCTCGGAGATCAGGATGCAGGTCTGGTATCATAGCATCGATTTCAGTGCTCCCAAGACTGTCCGCTACCTTGCTGAAAATAGCAACACCATCGTCATCATCATCTTGGGCCAATATCCGTGCAAGAGAAGCCATCGCTTTCCAAGGACAGTCCGTTTGGGGGGATAGAATCAGTTCAACCAATGAATTCCCGACCAATTCACCCATGATATTAGTCTCCACGTCCTTATGTGATTCTTCGCCATTTCTGTTACCGCCGTTATCAACGCTGAGAAAGTCGGCTTTTGATTCCATGGTCACTTCAATGAAACTCAAGGCCGATTTTCTGATCTCCTGTTCCTCGCGGCTTTTGTGGTCAAACATTGAAAAGACATTCATCACACGATTCTGCCTTTCTGCAGAGCAAAGCAGCTGCCGTGTATCTGTCATGGAATACGAATCATCAGAAAAATCTGATGCCGATGAGTTGGAAGTGTTTTCTGATAGTATTGATTTGGAATCATCATCTTCCTTTTCATTTGGAATGGGGTGGAAAGCTCTTTGGATGCCAACTTCTTCGTCTCCCTTGACCTCTCCAATATCCAGTTCAAGCCTTGCAGCATCCTCCAATTTGATCCCAAAACGGAATATGTCACCCATGACGCTTCGTTCTTCTTCAGTACTATCAAATCTGGTGTCATTTGATGAAGTGTTGGCAATAAAGGAAGTTATTGTACGTGTCATCAGGAGTAGGCAACTGACTCGAGATTGCACCCTGCTCCCAAGAAGTGGTAGTGCAGACGCAGATGCCATTAGAGAGCCGTTTTGCAAACAGATGCCATTAGAGAGCCGTTTTGCCAAACAAATCTGCAACAGACATAGCAGCTTGAAGACTTGACTGGCTTGCAGAAGCTGATCTTTCCGACGGTGGGGGTAGAAATAAATGGGGGAGACAGCTGGGTTCCATTTGCCTCCCAACCTCAAGGAAGAGGGAAGCAAACTGCAGATCAGTAGCGAATCTTCGAACAGACTCAATAACTTCAGAAAGAACAGTAGTTGCTACCAAAAGAAAAGCTTGGGATGCATCTGTCGGTGCTTTTCCGTGTCTCTTGTGCAAGTCTGCGACCATTTCAACCGTACGCAGAACAAAAAGTCTTAGTGTCATGGTCACAGCGTCCTTGTTTTGAATGGTTGTCATCCGGTTATGTATGTGTCGCTCAATGCTCTTTGAAGCGGAAGATTTTTAGACTTGAACTCCACAAAGTCTCACAATTGCAATTTTCCCTTTTTGAACTTACCAATATTCTTGCTTTATCTTCTTTCAACTCTTGAGACATGTTGGAGTCATCAGGTTGAGCCATCCGAATACGTCGATATGCTGTCTCAACATGCATTGAATATAGGGATGGTACAAATGCAGGAGGGGTGATCATGAAGTTACTGGGACCGTCCGATTCTGAAACATTTATATCGGCTGCATAACTGTCATCAGAAGTACCATATAAATTAGCCCTGCGATATTTCCTACAACGTTGCCCTGTACGGAGCCCGCAATCGTAAGTTGAATGGGGAATTGGTCCAACAAACATATCGGACTGGCAACCAACTGCAGATCGCTGCATCCAATCTGAAGATGATCCAGCATGAGACAGATTGCCCATTGCATATCGCATCAATTTGTTTCGGCGATCGCGTTTGCAAACACGCACGGGTGGGTGCAGTACACTTGGTTTTAAAGTATCATTTTCAATGGGTACTGAGTAAAAACCAAGTGTTTCGTCGATTTCAGCACCTAGAAGGGATGGAACCGACCAGCAGAATATTTCACCATTTAGAAGCTCAATCGCCCACACGAAAGTATCGACAAGACGATCAGCCCCATGGACAACATCTACTAGTGAAATTTTTGATAATTCATCGGTGTGGACAAGTGTAGACTGGCATGCTGTATTCCTAGCATCATATGATATTACCTCCAGGCCTCCAGGCGAGCGGACTACACCAACGGTGGCTACAAGAGAGCTTGCCAATGTTGATGTACCTGTGCAAATACGAGATCCTGGTGAGAAAAGGTGGCCAAAATCAGATTGTTCATTCTGGTCTTACATCGATCTTGGAGATCAAAGCGAAAGGATGCACCAGCAAGGAAAATAGAAGATATGGGTCCAATAGATCTTGTGCCATCCTTGAGGATGCCAGAAATTGTTTTACTGGTCAGTACTGAATTGGACCTTTTCTCAGACCTGCCTTTGAGAGGTGTGCTTAGCTGCAGCTGAAAAGTGGTGTAAACTAATTCAGATGCTTCGGGATCTGTCGAAGCCACAAACACCACTGCCTTCCTTGCTTGTTGTGCTCCATCGCTTTTTGAAGAAGGCTCTGCAAGTAGCATCAATGATGACACCTTTACATCCTCTGCCAACGGGATGCCCCATTTGGTCTCGGTACCTGTATCTGGAGATGCCGATACAAGGAGCTGATGGCTTGTGCCAAGTCTATAGATTGTGTGGTCAGCGGTAAACTGGGCACACACTTTCACAGCACACAACCAATCTTACCTCTTTGGTGACCAACATGAGAGGTACTGCTTTCCACTTCTCAATTCAATTATTGTAACGAGGAGGTCTTCGTTCTCTTCCGACTTTTTCGTGCCATTCCCTTCCCACCATTCCATCAAGATAATCGAGAAAGAGCTTTCTTCAATTGGCGTGCCAAACTGTTTCCAGCGATATTTGTTGTCCAGCAAGCAAACCCCAGACGATGAGGCAATCGCGATTGTTGCACTATTTTGCCTCCCAACAGCCGCAAATTTTGGAGCTCCATAAGCATTGATGTATGACAGTGGCAGGGTCGAAGATTTCCATGCAAGCTGTTGCGTTCCATTGTTAATTTCATGAGACAAATATGGAAATGCAACAAAGTCTGCTGCTAAGAAAAGCGGACATGACTCTAATTGAATCGCTCGAGAGTTGGGCGGTGAAAGCACTCCAGCAGTGATAAGATGTTTGTGAGTTTGAATTCGAAGATCTTGAATGCACGTTTCCAAGTAGCATAGTTTGAGCCCTGTCTGTTTCTCTTTTCCAAAATACAATCGAGACCACAGAGATAAGTTCGCTTCATTCTGAACGATCAAGCCTATTGCGTTTGTTCTCCAATTCCAAACACAGCCAATCCATTGATCCCCCACGGCTGTACTTATTGCAAAAGTATCATATTCAATATGAAGGTCTAGTCCAAATTTTGTATTAATTGAATTCTTGATGTCCCAATCTTCATCAGAGACAATTGCGTTGGTCGACTGAAGGCTCATGGCTTCTTCTATCTGCTCCGAAGTAAGATGGAGAGATACAATCGGCTGCAAGGTTCCAATTTCAGAAATGCTGAACATCTGCGCCACTTGTGGGTGCTTCCGTGCAGCCTGATAGACTACGCAAACGACTGTGGGACTCGTTCCAAATCGAGCTGCGACAACTCGTTGTTCAAGAACTGACAGCAAACCCACATTCATTATGCTCCTTAGAGGGTCCTCTTGCTGACCTGCAACATCTGACCTACGCCGTCGTCGTTGCAAACTCGTTCGAGGTCCCGCCCTTCTACCGGTTGAACGTTTCACCCAGCTTGCTGCCGTTGTCCTCTTGCGAAGTTCCTGCAAGACGAACTGGTTCATGTGGTTCTTCTGCTGTCTCGCTTCCCGTTCAGTTGTCTCCTTTTCTCGTTCTGGCGGGACCCCTTCTTTGGTATTCTGTTCTGGGGAATTGTCATTTTGATAAAATGCGGATTTCCAGTTGATAGGTTGTGCATTTGTGGTGCTATGGCAGTTTTTTGTGGTGTTCGCTTTGCTATTGGTGCTGTTGCTGGCAAGTGTGCTGAGATTTTTCGGTGCAATACTACTCCAGAAACGATTGCTTTTCAATCCCTTCAATGCATTTTGAATACCATCATGTTGCTCATTGTTTGTCGATGACCGACTGGATAATGCTCGATGATTTTCCCCTTTGCTCTTCTCATTGTTGTCCGAAGAAGTGTGGTGGGTGGTGGCGGCAGAGGCATCTTCGGTGCTGGTATCCACAGGATTATATGATTCCGCCAAATCGTGATTTTGCTTCTGATCATCTCGACAGTCCTGGTGGTGTTCCTCTTGCTTTGCAGACAGCTGTGATCGAACCATCAAGTCTCCGGTACTGTTTCGCTCTAGTTTGGTCTGTTGCACAGCGGTTCCAGATTCAAGCTTCCACTGAGCCAGAATGCAGTGCCCAGTTGCCGATGATACTGCAAGGAGGCAGCCTCTTTCTAATCTTTTAGCCGAGACACTGAGAGATGATACCGGCAATTGTTTGGACGAAATCGCTAGGGTTCCAGTTGCGATTGTGGTGGAAGACCTTGCATCTAGCCAGATGAGGCTTCCATCATTGCATGCAGCGAGAAAGACAGAAGGCAAAACATTTGGAATGCTGCATATTGCTGAAATGCCCCATACCGAAACAATATTTGGATTGGGGGCTACAGCAGGTGCTTGCCTCTTGTAAGAAATCTTGTTGCAGTAGGCGGGCAGTGGCATCGGAGTTTTTGAATTTGCCATGCTGGTTTTGGGTGGCAAATCCGAACGTGGCTTTCTTAATTGAAGAATAACGACTGCAGAGGACTGTTGATGTGGATGAAAGAGCAAGACAGCTAAGTTCCTGCGATCCTGTGAGACAGCAACTTGCGGTTGGAATTGTGGGTAATCATCGTTCGCACCGTCAACGAGCTTCAAATGATGCACTGTTTCTCTATACTGTTTCGAGAGCGGTTTGGCCAACAGTGAGACTTGTATTCTGAGTTCGCACATGGTGCAGTCTCTCCCCCCCTTGTTGAAATCCATCAAATCGTAGTATCCAGTAGTGACCCTGACTAGCCATTCATTTTGTGGGCAGACACCCCATCCAATCGTTTGATACAGCTCAACTGGCATGAGAGGGATTCCATCGTCCGAGTCTTCTTCTCGGCAATTGGCTCGCGGCAGAGTCTCCGCTGACACCGCCCTGCCGCCAACTGCAACGGGTAATGGCATCGGTGGATTGCAGCCTTCCAGAGAATATAGAGAAAGGCCGAGCTGGAATTAAAAATTACAACAGATAGATACGGCAAGCAATACTTGTTATGCTCGTATTGTAAACAGTGCCTCGTTACGGTGACAATGGCATTGATTTCGTGACCTTGAATTAGTGATGCTTTGTATTAGGACTGCAGTAGAGGAGCTCCCTTTCTTGAAAAAAATCATTCGAAAATGACAGGCGTACAGACCAAGGAGAGAAAACACAACATCAAATTGCCGAACATCTCGCGAAAGTAAGAGCGCTACGTAAATTTTACACCTCAAGTTCGAATCCATTATTTGATATAACACTATTGCCCAATTGGTCCGGTGAGTGTGATAAGAATCCTTCCAAACGTCAAGAACACATCAAAGGTCAGTGGTTTTCCACTGTTTGCTCGCTGCCGATGCATCAAGACGTTTCCTGCCAAGAAACGGACCCTGCTGGCCTTTTGGCTCGGTTATATCCGGGTGTTTTATGGACAGCGGAATAATTTGAAAAAGGCACTTTCCATGCCTTAATGATCACATTGTAACAGTAGCTCGGAACGTTCCATACATGGTTAAGAAACTGGCCAATGCTTTGTGCTAACTCTACCGTTGCCTTTATTCTTTGTCACTGAATCCCTGCAGAGTCACGGCTTCGAAACAACAGTATTTGGAATTGCGGAAGGCCAAGGCCACAATAGTCGCTGTTTCCAAGATGATGGCTCCTTTCGACGGCTCAGTTCAACAGCAACAGCAAGGTGTGTCCCAGGCTTCATTGCCAAGACCTCCAATGCCACCGGGTCATGCTGGGCAACAACCGATGAACCCAGCTTACACCCATGGTCTACCACGGGGAGTTGCCGCTGGAATCCCTCATGCGTACCAAATGCGCCCACAATCTCCAGGATCTCGTCATGATAGCTTCCAAATGCCTAGTGCAGGTGGGCCACAAGGACAGTATACGTCACATCAACCTCTCCACTCACCGGGTCACCAACAGCAGCCGCAAGGAGGCCAAATACACCCAGGGATGACTCAAATGCACAGAGGATCATCGCAATCGCGAAACGGGCACGTTCTCCCAATGCAACAAACTCACGATAACATCATGGCATCGACCAACGGCAGAAACCAGCAATTCATGGGCAGCTCCATGGGCGGTGGCATGGACAATTCAATGAACAATACTTTGAATAACTCAATGAATACCTCAATGAACGGTAATGCTATGATGTCAATGGGAAACCCCGTGAACATGATGGGAAACTCTATGAATGCAGGTTTGCCAAATATGACAATGAATCCCAATATGGGGAGTGTTGGAGTGATGAATGTGTCAAACGGATCCATGAGATCATCTTCCGCACCAATGCTGAATTCAAGCATGCACAGTGGCGGGGGGATGCACGGAAGCTGGCAAACAGACAGAGATACGCAGCACCGAAGAGATATGATTCAACACATGTAAGTTGCCTGTAGCTGTGAATGTTGTTGTTGCCCTTTTTGACGATAGTTGTCTGATGTCCAACCAACTCTTCTCTATAGTGTGAAAATGCTGAAGAAAGACAGAAATGGATCGCCAGAGTGGCTCAGTAAACTACCGCAAATGGCAAAACAGCTAGAGGTCTCTCTTTATAGAAATGCCAGATCGTTTGAGGCCTACACGGACATGAATACTTTGAAACAACGACTTCAGCAAATAGCTGCAGAAGTATCAAAAAAGGCCAGAGATCAAAGAGACGATCGTCAAAGAGATCGGATTCCATCGTCCAACAATAAAAATACGAACTATATTGGGATGACATCCTCCAATACATCAATTCAGTCAAATTCAATTGGGCCTGGTAGTGTGGCGAACAACAACCCCATGTTGGACATGAATAGTATGAGAGGAAGTGCACACACGCAGATGAGAACAGTAGGTGGCTCTAATTTCCAGGATCAGCGAGCCGCAACTAGTAGCAACAGAACTAGTGCAAGCCATGGGATGGGAAACTCGCTATCGTCTGGCACAGTATTAAGCTCGTCAGGATCATCAAATCGGAATGATCCTGAATGGAGAGTAAGAATCAGACACAAACAGCAGCGTTTGCTACTTCTTCACCATTCTGCCAAATGCCCTCATGAAGACGGGCGATGTCCCGTGACTCCCCACTGTGCTGACATGAAGCGCCTATGGAAGCATATGGAAGGTTGCAAAGACAATCAGTGCCGAGTACCCCACTGCTTCTCGTCAAGAGCCATTTTGAGTCACTATAGGAAGTGCAAAGATGTCTCATGCCCAGCTTGTGGACCAGTTAGGGATACAGTAAGAAGATCACAGAATCGCAATACATCGAGCTCAAACTTGTCCTTGGGTCAAAATAGGCAATCTAGAACCAACATGGGGGAAGAAGTTCAAAGAATGGGTGCCGATGGGAACACTTCAGCCCATCCACCTCTTCCTTGTCGTGCCAATTCTTACCAACCTTCGCTAGGTAACTCTTTCAACCAATCTCAAGACCCAAAGCCACTGATGCCCCCTTCTGGCAACATGTCGAAACCACAATACCCTTCGATCCAATCGTCTTCGCAAAACGCACAATCGTCTGGGACAAACAATGAGGTCGTCGGAGGACAGTCACTGCACTTCTGTCAGGGTTCGTCGGTCGACAGTGGCGTCGTCGACAAGGGAGCTCGAGAGACGCCAAACGGCAATTCATGGGTGGGGGAGCGACAACAAGACAAGGGCCCTATTCCTCCAACCCGACGGAATGATTCGGAATGGCAAAAAGTTAGGCACAAGCAGCAACGGCTTCTCTTGCTCCGTCATGCTTCAAGATGTCAATACAAGAGCAGCTGTCCTGTAACGCCTCACTGTGCCAGTATGAAAAAGCTGTGGGAACACATAGCGCACTGCAAGGATCAGAGATGTAGCGTCCCACATTGTATGAGTAGCCGATACGTCCTGAGTCACTATCGAAGGTGTAAGGACGCCAGATGTCCTGCCTGTGCGCCGGTGAGAGACACAATCCGAAAAAGCCACGAGAAAGAGCGACAAGGGCAATCTGCTGGTCTTACCAATTCATTTGATACCGAGAAACAGGGGGATTCGTCGACAACAGCATTTGACGCTGGTTTTGCTGATAGTTCGGAAATCAGCACTTCTGATGACAATCAAAGGTCCGCAAAGCGCTCAAGATTGGACCAAGGCGTTTCGTTGTCCGTTGCTCCGTCCGTCACAGATGGTCTTTCGGAAAATGCAAGTAATTTTGACAATTCAAAAAAAAAGGAAACCCTCTCCAATGAGAGAATTGGTGTGAAAGCTTCACAGTCACTGGAAGGTTTACAAAAGGAGCCCATCCCAAATCCTGCCACTCAAAACGCACAAACTTCAGAGGATAGGTCTCTTCTCAACAGCTTCTCAGTGGCTCAGCTGACAACTCATTTGGAATCTTTAAATCGAGTGGCGCAACTCTCTCCTGCAATAATCAAACAGAAATGTTTGGAGGTATTGAAAGGTCTTCAAGCTCATCAACATGGTTGGGTATTTAACTCTCCAGTGGACCCTATCGAGCTCGGTCTTCCTGATTACTTTGAAGTTATCAAGAAGCCAATGGATCTTGGTACAGTATCTAAAAAGCTTGACAGCTGTGCATATCACGAAATTTGTGACTTTCAACGAGATGTCAATCTGACTTTTGATAATGCTATGCGATACAATGAAGAAGGAACTGTAGTCTATGGGATGGCCAAGGAGCTCAAAGATAAATTCGAGGAAGACAATGAGGAGCTATTTGAGCAACTCAAAGCTGAAGATTGGGTGAGACGTCAAAATGATAGGGCATGCGTTCTTTGTGGTTGCGAGAAACGTTTGTTTGAATCCCCCGTTTTTTTCTGCAATGGCTTGAACTGTCAAAGCAAACGTATACCACGAAACAGATATTACTACATTGGCGGAAACAACCAGTATTTCTGGTGCAATCAATGTTACAATGATCTTGATAAAAACACACCTCTCGAGTTTGTGGATCTCACGGTTAATAAAAGTGACTTGAAAAAGAAGAAAAATGACGAGGTGCATGAGGAAAGCTGGGTACAGTGTGATGTCTGCGAAAAATGGATCCATCAGATCTGTGGGCTTTTCAATACCAGACAGAACAAAGAGCACCAGAGCGAATATTGCTGTCCGCTTTGTCTTCTTGAAAAGAGAAAAAAGGGTACCTCTGCTACCCTTCCCCTGCGACCACCTGGTGCGGCTGACTTGCCAAGAACGAAACTGTCAGAATACTTGGAAAAAGATGTCACTAAACGGATTGAAGAGAAGAAACAGGGAAGTACCGGGAATGCGCAATCAATCAATGCTGGCTCTGTCATCATCAGACAAGTCACCTCTATGGACCGAAAACATGAGGTTCGAGAAAAAATGAAAAGCAGGTACAAATACAAGAATTATCCTGACGAATTCCCTTTCCGATGCAAATGTATCGTTGTATTTCAGCACATCGACGGTGTTGATGTTATTCTATTTGCTCTATATCTGTACGAACATGGCGAAGACAACCCTGCTCCAAACAAACGCTGTGTATATATTTCATACTTGGATAGTGTACATTTCATGAGACCTCGGCGACTGCGAACATTTGTTTATCATGAGATTCTTATTTCCTACCTGGACTTTGCTCGTCAACGCGGCTTTGCGACTGCGCACATTTGGGCATGCCCTCCCTTAAAGGGTGACGATTATATCTTCTACGCTAAGCCCGAGGATCAAAAGACTCCAAGGGACTCAAGACTAAGACAATGGTACATTGATATGCTTGTGGAATGTCAACGGCGCAGTGTAGTCGGGAAGGTTACCAACATGTATGACTTGTATTTTGCAAACGATTCACTAGATGCAACTGCAGTTCCTTACCTAGAGGGGGACTATTTCCCAGGGGAAGCAGAAAACATCATCAAGGTGCTCGAAAATGGAGGGAACAAAAAGGGCGGAAATGCAGGGAAAAAGAGTAAGAAGAAAAACCAGACAAAATCCAAGAGCCGAAGTGGAACTCGCTCAACAGGTATTGATGAAGTGGCTGGAAGCGCGGAGAACAGGAAGAGTACTGTGGAAATTGAGCGAGACCAAGTAATGGTAAAGCTTGGTGAAACCATCAAGCCGATGAAGGAAAGTTTTATTGTTGCATTTTTGAATTGGTCGGAAGCCTCGAAAGAAAGCATGAAAGTACCTGAGGTTGTCCTGAAGTATCGGTCAGAGCACCCTGAGGCGATGGTACCTTTGCTAACTGGTAGAAAGCGCGACGCTGATGGAAATACACGTGAATTGGATCGCAATGGCCGACCTATGAAGGTAATTGATGACGATGTGGAAGATCTTGATTGCGAGTTTCTAAACAACAGGCAGGCTTTTCTCAATCTCTGCCGAGGCAATCACTATCAATTTGATGAACTTCGTCGGGCGAAACATACGTCCATGATGGTTTTGTGGCATCTGCATAACAGAAACGAACCCAAGTTTGTTCAGCAGTGCGTGCATTGCAATCGAGAAATCCTAAGTGGTATGAGGTATCATTGCGCTATTTGCAGTGATTATGACTTGTGTGAGAAGTGTTACAAAGATCCCAAAACAAATCGTGGGTCATGTACACATAAGCTTCACCCAATTGCGGTGGAGAGCGAAGGGGCACAGGAGGGACAAGGAAATTCCAATGGTGTAACTGCTCAACAGAGAAAACAGCGGCAGGGAAATCTCCTGCTACATATTCAGCTGATTGAACATGCTTCAAGGTGCAGCTCCAGTTCCTGCACTTCGACTAATTGTGCTAAAATGAAGAAGTATTTGATGCATGCGAAAACCTGCAAGGTAAATCCATCTGATTCCTGACCTATTCTACATCCAGTTTGTTAACACTTCTATTTTCTTTGCTGCTGCTTAGATAAAGGTTCAAGGCGGCTGCAGAATTTGCAAGCGCATCTGGACACTATTGCGAATCCATGCTCAAAAATGCAAAGATGAAGTATGTCCCATCCCACAGTGTATGGTGATTCGTGAGAAGATGCGTGAGTTGCAGAAGCAACAACAAGCAATGGATGATCGACGACGACTGGAAATGAATCGTCACTATCGTATTTCAATCACAGCTACTGATAGCCTCTAGGACTAATGTTAAACCTGATTTTGTCACTTATTTCCCAGTTCACAAATGTGTGCCAGATGAATGGGTCAACCTTGTACTGTATCTGATGAAAACGGAGTTTTGGACAAAGGACAGACAACAAGCTTCTTCTGCAGAGATGATTGTTTCCTTCTTTGAAGCAACAGAGAAGGCTGCAAGGCGGGAAATTTTTGGAACAATAACTGAGAAATTAAGTGTTAGGATGCTACTCTATGGCCATTCTATTGCCCGTGGAATATTCGGCTGTAAAAATCAAGATTCAGCAGGATCTCAGAGACTCCCACTTGCCTATAAATGCCTTCAACCACTTGTTTGTCCTTTGCTCGTTTGGAGTGGTATGGTGGAAGATAGTAGAGATGGCAGCCATGGTGTGATGAGTGGGTATTTACTCGAGCCCACTCTGCTTGCCAAAGCCCTGTCACATTGAAAAAATATTTAAGCCCTCCAGTCATTTCAAATTTGACGGACTGCCAAAATCCTGTAAATATGGGTCAAATTTGACTGTCTCTGTTGATTGCAGTCAATTTTCTACGGACGTTTTACACAAAAAAATGTACTGCCCATAAATTTGATTATCCCATCTAGCCGATTGACAGTGGCCATCAATTGAGATTTTCATTTCACAACACATAACCGCTCTGCACCTGACAATTGTTGGAATATGATGAAATATAAGTTTTTACGTTTTGAAAAGAAACTATTCAAGTACGAAAACTGAAGCTGTTGCAAGAGAAACAGAGATGGCCCAAAACAAGATTCTCTATTCTGCAAAGCTCGACGAGAACATGCGAAGATCAGCCTACTTCAAGACGAACAAGAGAACCGTCAAATCAAACATCATGCTGAAGTTTGTGATGAAGGCAATGGATATCAAGCTTCGGGGTGAAGCCGGTTTCACGACTACTCTTGAAGATCCAATTGAACTCTTGAAATGTACTGAACAATTCATGAAGAAGAGTGCTGATGCTGAGTATGATTTCTTGGATTTCTGGGAAGCAAATCAAAAGTTCTTTGCTATGAAGCAAGGAACAACAGAAAATTTGATGCATTTCAAGGAACGATTCTTGAGACAGGCTGAAGTCCTGCAAGATCTATATGGCGTGGCCTGGTTCCGAAATTTTGCAGTCAAGACAAAAGCGTATGCTGCTATTGCTAGCACCAATACTGCTGCTCAAAACAAGTTCAAGGATGATATCTTTGAAGCCGTTCTTGCAACAGGATTTCTGTGCAACTGCGATCAAACGAGAACAGCTCCTCTGATGAAAGCACAACGCAGCAGGCTGCAAAAGGCAAAGGCAGATGACGAATTCCGTTTGGCGTCTGCTGAAGTTGGTGCTCTCGGCCATGCAGTCGCCATGCAGCTGACGACAACAAGGAACTCGCAGGCAACAAAGTTGTGAATAATTTTACTTGCAAATGTAGCGAATGCGAAATAGTTGTATGTGGAATATAAATATCGCTTTACTTTATCTATGTGTGTGTCTATGTGTGTGTACATTTGCATCGTGCTTTGTTTGTTGAAATGATACCATTTCGACTTGTCTGAATTTACATCACTTGAAAGGCACCAAAATAACCGGTTCTGCCCCCTCTTTCGCGTTCGCTTCGCGTTCGAGAATAGCCTACGGAGAGGCTTTTGTTTTTTTCATACTTAAAGAAAAAGAACAATAAAGCAAGACTAATCAATTAAGGCATGAACTATTTTCGGTGTAATTTTTTCGGACTTTTCTGTAGAGAGTCAGTATCGTTTCAACAGGTGCGATTATTTTGAAGCATGAAAAATAAAAATAAACGAGATGGAAGTCAATTTGTTTACGCGTTTTGCGTAGAACTGCGATTTGTACTGAGCTCTCCAAAAATGTTCCTGCCGCTCTAAGGCCTTTTATTACCAACTCAATGTACCAGCTTTACACAATCCTACAAACGAAGGATATTGAGGGGAGGCTGAACATACTGGAGGGACGATTTCGTTGTGAAGAATTTTCTCAAAAACAAACGACAATGGCGCAAGGATGGCCTTTTCACCATGATAGAGTCTTTGAAACTCGCTAAAAACTTGTATTCCAATAGATAAAAATATGGACTAATAGATTATGTAGGCAATTATGTAAGCAAAGCTGTCTAAGTATCTGAT